CAAGTTATTAGTTAATAAATACAAATACATCGTACACGCAACGTAGAGTTATTAGTTAATAAATAAATAAATAAATACAAATACACCGTTCACGCAACGTGGAGTTATTACAATGTAATTAGCGTGTCAGTAACAGTTGGCATAGAAATTGACCCTGCTCAAGATCGTAATGCTGACCAAAAATTAAATAAATTGGACGAATGTGAAATGGGACGAATGTGAATTGGAACGAATCGACTCGTGGGACGAATGTGAATTGGGACGAATCGACTTGTGGGACGAATATGTTGGGACGAATGTGAATTGGGACGAATTGACTGTGAAAATTGTTCGTAAATATTACTGACCGCAAAAGACGCTCATCGCGAAGTGTCTTGTTATATGACAAAAAATTTGACAGCCAGGCAGCCAAACATGACAGTCTCCAATAACAACAAATATTTGCTCTTTTAGTAGCCAATAGTTGTGTTCACGTTACACGAAGTACGGGCTGATTTAGGCTTATCTAGCATATTTGCATTTCGGCTAGACCCAATTGCGTCCACGCACAGGGAGGGCCAGTCGTTAGCACGGGCTAAGGGGTGCCATTAGTCGGTGACATTTGGTAAGCCGCTATTTACGAACGAAAAATGGATGACACGCGCGAGGTTCTATTTCTGCTGCTGGCATGTTTCGTTCTAATTTTGAAGCGACGTGCACAGGAACGCGAGAGAAGACGGACCACTTATTTGGATGCACATAAACAGTATACAACGGGCGTAACAGAATACAGCGTTTTATTAATGCATGTCGTAGACAGCGAACCAAATTTATTTTGTCTACGATTGGAGCTGCTGTACGCTCTACTACAGTGACCCGATTAGTGTGGAAGTGAGCGCGGAGTAATGACTGGTGGAATAGTGTCGAACATGGGACAATTTTCACACCCAAAGGTCGCCGCAGAGGGCGCTTAGCCCTGGGCTAAGCGTTCGCGCATACTTCGTTAGCCCGTGCTAAGGTCTAGACCGCGTCTTAAATTCGGATCAGATTTAACCCGTACTTAGCATTCCTTAGCCCGTGCTAAGCGTTCACGCACGTTTTCTTAGCACGGGCTAAAGAATTTGACCTCTTAGCACGTGCTAAGGAGCTGTGCGTGAACGCAACTATAGTGTTTAAAGTGATTTGACATTGTTGTACTTGCTCTACAGGTCTTATGATAAATAAACAGTGGTAAACTAATTGTGGTTGTGTCAAAATTTGACAGCCCACAAAGTACCTGGTTGCTAGGCATCTTGACATGGTGTTACAATTTGCTCTGATGATAACCTGCCCTATCACTGGTCATTTGGATTGATTGCAGTCCCCCAATTAACATTCAACCCAAACCTGGAAGTCCCTATAAAAGTTGACGTTTAACTTGGGACAAATATTCAGAATGGACAGACTCAGGTGGACTTATCAAACCAGGGTTCTGGAGAGTGAAGAACCAACTCAATATTTGTAGGATTTTATCCCATGAATACCTGTACCCCTATATGGAAGATTTACTACCGTATCATTTGAGACCCATTGAAAACTGAATACCCATAAATATATATATTCCCCCTCAGTTTCTTTAGTTCATTGGTCCACAAGCAAGGTTTGGGGACTAGAATGAGGGAATGTAGAATCCTGTTCAACTGACGCGATTGGTCCTGACTGGTGTTGTTAAACACGATTTTACAGGCAAGCCCAACCTCGTCAGTTGAACAGAAATTTACATTCCCTCATTCTGAAGACCGTACAGAACATAACTATGTTTGGGTCATCTTTAAATTAAGTAATTGTCAGGATAATAAGTTGTATTCAATGTCAGCCCTTCCTAGGAAATGCTTTGAAGATATGGATATATGCATGTCATTTACCTGACATTGGTTTGAAGATTAAAGTCATTCTTAGTTTTGATTTCCTTTGGAAACAAATAGTAAAAAAAATTCTCAATTCACAGATAATTGTAAACTGTAAACAAAAATATTGTTGATTTCAGGTTTATATTTCAATAATAAATAGAAAATGTGATTTAAAAAATATACCACCAGATATTTAATATAACATTTATTAGTTTTGCTAGACTGAACTAAAGTATATGCAGTCAATCACTTGAGTTGTCTTCACTATTAACAATCAATGTGGCCAAAAGATTCAATGTTATTGTAACACACTAGATGACGAAATAGGGATGAAAGCAATTTTCAATTACTAGAGACACATCCATCAACTTTCAGGAGACATACATTTGGGGTTGAAAATCTTAAAGTAATCTGTATATAAAATTAAATTTGAGAAAAGAAGACAAGTTTAAAAGAGTTCGGTAGTGACAGTTATTAGTACAAGCTATGACACAAATATTATTTTAAAGGGTGGTAGTCATCACGCCACACATGTGCGACATTTGTGTTGATAAACATTGAATTTCCCACAATCCAATCCAATCCAATCCAATCCATTGATACCTTCCAAACACCCAAAAAAATACCTAATTAAAGCTTAGAAACCACTCAGTTTGTACTAGTTGGTGTGCGTCAAAATCGTTAGCTTTGTTTATATAAGACCCATATCTCACGTATGCGTGGTGCGACGACTACCGCCCATCAACACAATAATAATTATGTTATACAACATAAAATACTATAAACTATATTACTGAATTAATCCTTCATTACAGTGTTTGCGTCTCTTCACACAAATGATAATTTTAGTCTAGCATGCAATGCTGTATCATACAACCTGAATAAAATGTATTCAACACAAGAGGGCCCTATGCCTATCAATCAAATACTCAATACAGAGACTGTAAAACACGTTGAAATAGCTACATGCTATTTTAGCAAATTTGACTCAATACATGAATTAACAAAAAGACGCATTTTATAGTATTTTTAGTCCCCGTTCGGACGCAGTCCGAAAACGGGGACTTATGTTTTGCCCTGTGTGCGTCCGTCCGTGCGTCCGTGCGTCCGTGATCACCTGTATCTCGAACATGCATGGACCGATTGAGTTCAAACTTCACTCATACATCACACATTATATGGGACATATGCACATGCATTTTTTTCATGATCCGATTAACGATAGCCGAATAGCGGCCATTTTAAGGCCGAAAATGCATCAAAATCGCACATTTTCACCATTCC